AATTATTAGCGGGAAATTGAAAAGCGGCTACTTCTTGAACGTAACCACAGACAAATCAACTGGCGCAGTAGACGTTTTTGTATGCAAAATTAATTCTGCGCAGGTTTTCTTGTTTATGATAGATGCTCAACAAGTTTGCCGGGGTGTATACTATGATTATCATGTATTTACATTGTTTTTTGCAAGTCCTCAATATTTATGAGTTATGTGATAGCAATCTCGCTGTCTACTATATTGAAATCTTCTAATATATAAAATTCTCGTGTCACGGTGTACGTAATTGAATTCCTCCGAAACGGCCCGACTGATTTGCGTGAAATTTTACATGCATATTCAGTAGGTCTGAGCATCGGACCCCCTAAAAGTTAAGGGTGGTCCACCATTAATTTTTTTGTGGATGAAACTTTTTGTTTTTAATTGTTTTATGATACATCATACAAAAATACATACAACCCTAAATTTTCACCCTTCTACCACCCATATTTTTATGGCAATACGAAGTTCGCTGGCTCAGCTAGTAATTTATACATAAAAATATTGTACTTATTTATTTGAATACGTGAAAGTGATTTATTACTATTTATATTAAGAGAGGTAAGGAAAAGTGGATTTTTCGCTCGAATTGGAGCGCCCGTCTTGAGAAATAACCTCACCTTACAGGAGATCACAGCTAGTAAAATAACATTGGTGTCGATTCTAGAGTGATTCTCTACACTTAAAACTAAATTTAACATCAGTCTCTCCTTTTCGTTCTGTATAGAGAATGACAAGGATGCACTGTTGTCAAATTTAATGAGGAGCTCGATGGCGCAGGTGGCTAGCGCGTTCGGCTGCGATCGTTGAAGTTAAGCAACTTTCGCAGTGGTCGGTCATTGGATGGGTGACCAAAAACTTCTATCTCGAGTTCCTCCGTGCTTCGGAAGGCACGTTAAGCCGTTGGTCCCGGTTTGTAGTCTTATCAGACTATTCTTAACTTATAACTTAAATATTCTCTTCATCTATCACTTACGGGTTGGCCGCTGAAACAGCACCACAGACAGACAGACGGACGGACTTGTCTAATAGATAAGAGATTAGGATATATGTATAGAACAACTGTTTTGAATCGTCCAAAAAATTTTTTTCATACTACTCGTTATTTGACATATTTTTAGCTGCGGAGAAAAACGAGCGAAATGAACTCCACAACATTAAAAGCATAATGCAACGACATTTATAGGAGTGATGCAACTTTCCTAATCTGTGACAAGGTTAAAAGTCAAGAGGGAGTCAATTAATAAACTCAACTAATATTATAATAAACCAGGAACTTTATTTACGCTATATTTACAAAAAATACAAATCTCTCAAAATAGATAATAATTATAGGTAATTAAATAATTCATTATTATTATTATAGCTTCAACAACCAAGGGCAGAACTTATTAGACAATTTATTCTTAAGCTGTTACATTATCGGGTATAATCACATTCGATATTGTGGATTACGTACGTATGCTGAAATAGTTAAAGAATGAGGGCTACCGTTTTCTGTCTCACCAGATGGCGCCACTGTTGAGTGAGGTCCTAAATTGTAACTTTTAAAGTTTATTAATACGCACATGAAATCAAAGGTTACATTTAGATCGTATTTTAACACAAAAGAACCATATCCTAAACATAATAAGTCATGCCACAGTGACGCGCAGTTCCGTTTTATTCGGAAAAAAATGGGAACATAATCATTTTTTTAAGCTCAAATTTTTAATAACTGACATTCATTGCCACATAACTCATATTTGCCATAATTAAGCCGAATTGTTACCAATTATTCACAACATTATTTTAATAAGAAATAAACCCGCGTAGTCAAACCAACAAGCAATAACATTTGACATTTCGGAGACCTCACGCTACACTAGCGCCTCTAGCGGCGAATTCATACGCGATAGCCCTCATTTCTAAGGGTCATAATCAGACTCCAATTATTTTTCAAGATATATTAAAATCTGTCCTTTTTGATGTGTAACATCTTTCCTCTCGCTTTCCTGCAATTTGTGGTAGTGATTACGTGAAATGGAACGGAAGTGTGTAACAGGCAGTCGCGAAATCGCGCGCTATTTGATTTGATTTTAGAACATAATGTTCAAATGGCTTATTCCTTTTGTAGTAGGTTTTATTTCTTTTTTTACTAATATAAGGTGAGGTTTCAAATGTTACACATCATACGCGACTACTGTAAGGCTCGCGCTTTTTTTTATGATAGCAATAAGACAGACAACAAGCATGAAATTTAATTGACGTCTCACAATACGACCATTAAAGTTATAATAACTTTAAAAATGCCTTTCATCTTACGTTTTTGATCAATTCCTAGATATCGCCTTATTCAATATTCAGCTCCAATAGATTAAACAAAATAAATGAATATACGTTCAAAGTATTTTCAAGAAACAAGTACATAATCAGAAATAGAAAAATCATCTTGTTGCAAGTAAAAACCAGTGTGCTTATGACCACACGACCGAAGTGAAACTTCTTTAGCTCCATCTGTATGTATATATACATACATACGTGTGTACAATATATACATGTATGTACATATACATATTTCATTTACTTGCTATAAGAGAAAGAGAGAAAGAAAATGTGCGCGCGCACTGCTTTCTCTTGCTTATATCCCTCACTCAACTCCCGTTCGCCTCGCCCGAACACACTTTTCGTAACGCGTAACGCATTCGCCAGCTTACCCCCCCAAGTCAAGTGTGCGTAAGAAGTTTCACTTCAGTAATATAAATTTCATTACACATTTTTGGCGCAGTCAGCTCTCGACAAATAGTAGGTACTATGACAAAGAGTACGTATCAAAAGTGTAGTACACAGAATAGACTATAAATTCTGTACTGAATTTATTCTTTGATCAGATCTTACAATCACAGACCGGCAAATTTAAAATTTCATTTCTTTCCTTGCCTTTGTAAAAACTTTAATCGTAAGTATAACCAACTTCATTGTTAAAAGATTAATTTATATTTTGAAGCTAATTTTTTTTAATATTTTATATCATAAACTTTTACAAATTCTGCTGTGGAATCCAGAGGCGGATTATCCTTAAGGCAAACTAGGCATGTGCCTAGGGGCGCGAGGGTACAAAGGGGCGCGCGGGCGAAATTGTAAATTAAAGAAAAAATATGTAATATAGCATATAATTAATTGGGCCAGTAAGTAAGCCACCTACTTACAAAATATAAACTATTATTTTTGCTTACAACCTCAATTTGTTACAATTTATAACAAAAGATTTTAACTGGGACTGACTAATACTTACGCCTACAAACAACCTTGTCGATGGTCCATAATATGATCTCTCTTTAAAGTTGGAAAGATACGATTGCAATGTTGATCGCATCGACCGAATCGGTTTCGGTCAAACTATAGTACGAGTAATTTTCAATATAGAGGCACCGATGAGATGATTGGCTACGGCGCTCTCAAAGTTTAATCCGCCACTTGTGGACCCAAAACAAGAAAAAATCTGTTTAAATTTCAACCTGACTGCGCCTATAATATCCTTCTTTACTTTATAATTATAATTGTTTTATATCTGACAATCGCCGTAATGCGAGAAATGTAACTTTTAAATGCTTATTAATAATCTCAAACCACTATCCGAAGATACTTATACATCCACAAATCACAATGTATTCTCCAAGACACTTTGGACCTTAACGCTTTCATTTAGAGTACAAAATAGTTTAAATAGACGATACGAAGTTATACAATTACGTACAAGATCTTAATATAATAAATAAGACACTACAAATAACACGCGAAGGCCTGTATTTAAGGCATATTCCACTTTCAACTAGACTCCTAACAAATAGTGTTTCGAACAATTTGAATATTGCAAACAGTTTTCTCACCAATAGAGTATTTGACAAGTTTTAGAAAACGATCTCACGTTATTTACTAATGTTTATGGAGTCCGTGGTTATTTATCATTGTTGTGTATTTCAGTTAAAATAACCAAATCAAAAACTCCATTTTCAAGTTGCTTCGAAAACGTTTCTCTGGACAATATGGCGTCTCACTGGTGTGTGACGTCACACGACTGTTATTAAAATGTCAAACGATACAATGTAATATCACTTTAATCGGAAGTTTACTTGCGTGTGACGTCATTTTAGGCTCTGCCAATCCCGAGCTTTTTGGGTCACGTGACAATTGACAAGAAAACTATTATCTTTTTCGTGGGTTTTTAGTAAAATTATGAATATTTTTTCTGTAAAAATAGTGAAAATCCCTGCCAATATTCATTCTAAACACAGATGCTAATAATTGGCACTTTATTTTTAATACTGTCAAATACCTACCCTATTCAAATTCTTAACCCACTTCAAAAAAGTAGGAAGTCGATTGCATGTTTTTGTATAACTATTTTTCATCAAATTGCTCGAAGACACAGGAACCGATATTAGTCAACTAATCAGACTTTTTATATGGAAAGACAGATTAATTACACACACACACGCACACACACAAACACCGTTGTGAAGGCAGTGGTTCTCAAATAGTAAGTCACAAAACCCCCTCAATAATTTTGAAAATTAAACATATTTTATTCAAAAACTTAAATGGATAGGTTTTCATTGCGCATTAAGATGTTATATTACATATGTTGGCTACAAAGTTAACGGTCTTTGTGTGTACACGTGTAAATTTCATTATCACACCTCACATCAATATACCTACAATAAGGCTTCGAATCGCAAAACGCCTACTACAATTCCAAAAATATCACACTAGCCACTAGCTATTAGCTATTGTTACAAAAGCTACCATTTGATAGGAATGTTTTGTTACAACCGTATTTCTTTTTCAATAGAGTATTTGACAAGTTTTAGAAAACGATCTCACGTTATTGACTAATGTTTATGGAATCCGCAAAAAGGGGATATTCATCATCAGTAAAAATAACCAAATCAAAAACTCCATTTTCAAGTTGCCGCGAAAACGTTTTTCTGGAAAATATGGCGTCTTACTAGTGTGTGACGTCACACGACTGTTATCAAAACGTCAAACGATACAATGTAATGTCACTTTAACCTGAAGTTTACTTGCGAGTGACGTCATTTTAGGCTCCGCCAATCCCAAGCGTTTTGGGTCACGTGACAATAGATAAGAAAACTTATCTTTTTCGTGGGTTTTTATTTTAGCAAAATTATGAATATTTCTTTTGTAAAAATAGTATAAACCCCTGCCAATATTCATTCTAAACACAGATGCTAACAATTGGCACTTTATTTTTAATACTGTCAAATACCCTATTTGGAAATTTAGATGAAGATTTTAAAATTGAACATAGTTTCTAAACATTTATATCGAAAGACCCCACGTTAAGTTTAATGTGGTTAATATTTATGTTGCACTTTAATTCGAACCGCTGGGGTCGGAATTAGTAATGTTCAGTCACAGTTTATTTAGAGTAAATTGGAAGAAGAATATATTAGAAAAAGAATGAAAAATATTTCTTCTATTGGTTACTGTGCTTAATTTCTGACCTTGTAAAATGCTACAAAGTTAGTGTCCTCTCTTTCTTTCACATTTATTTTTTGTATCATTCAATGACTTTCTTATCCATTTATTTTTCATCAAGTCTTTGTTTCAAGGAATCACAATTCTGACTTCAAATTACAAATGCATTTTATTAGGATGGCTGGCGAAGCAACCAAGCAATATAAATATGACATGAAATATGTATAAAGTTTTCTACGTATTTAATAAAATCCTGCTACGTTAAAGCGATACGTATTACGAGCTTAACTTTTCAGTGATTATATTGATTTTAGATTGGTATTAAATATAACCTGAAAGAGGTTCAAGTTTCGAAATGTTTGTAAATGCTGGTCACGTAAGCCATTACTTGCTGCCAGTCCGGACGTTCCTGTTGGATCATGTCTTGGATGTTCTGTAAACAATGCATTTTCTAGTAAAGTATGGTTTGTTTATTTTTCAACAAATCATCTTAAACTACCGTGTATCTTGTTTTATTCAATTAAAGCTTTAAGTACATAAGTAATGGATTTTCGTATAAATTCAACAATCCCCTTTTCGCCTCCTTTAAAGATATTTTATAGGATAAAAACTATCCTATATCTATCGGATGCTAACGACGGCACATGCAGCCGAGACCAACGGCTCGAGCTAGTAAATTTTTGGTCATCCATCCAATGACCGACCATTGCGAAAGTTACTTAACTTCCACAACCGCAGCCGAAAGCGTTAATCACTGGCGCCATCTAGCTCCTCATTACAAGTACTACATTCATGTAAGTATATGCAATAAGGAATCGTTCAAGTATTACGTAAGCATTATAGGGGGTCAGGGGGGTCTTTGCTTTGCCAATTTTGATAACTTTTTTATTTTGAGGGCGAGAGAGTGATTACGTCAACATCATGGATTCGGGTGTCATGCACTATATAGACTGTCAATTGGAATTATTATGTATACCAAAAATTCGAAAGAAGTTTGTTTTGTTCGTAATAGTACTTAGATAAAATTATAATATTTGTACCTTACTCTATTTTTTTTTATTTACTAATTTAGTACACACACAATAAAACATATAAATAGAACAAGAACAAGAAATTTGTACAAGGGCACTGTTTATTTCATATTGAAATTTCTTCCAGCAGGCCCGCGAAAGGAATACTGTGTCAATAAAGTATGTTTAAATGAATATTATGTGCGTTAAAGTACTCTATCCTAAGCGTGTTTAAGTACTGCTACTCATGAAGCTCATGAATCAATAAAGGAAACAGAATACATTAAAGGAACCAATGTTTACGTAATTGGGGTAAGAGCTTTGCTGACTTTTGCTGACAAGGGGGAGGAGGGAGTTAATAACTGTACTAAATCTGCTTACGTAATACTTGGACGGCCCCTAATGAACACTTACCAAAGTGGTAGGTATCCCCACGGACTCTGCGGCGGCGAAGGCGACAGAGAAGTTGGTGCGTTTGTCGTGCGGCGACAGCGTGCCGTACGGCACCCGCGCGTCGCCGAGGTACGAGTGCAGGAGGGCGCATAACGCCATGCCGTCGTTCCATGATGAACTGTGTCAATATAAAGTTATTTTGAGCAACGAATTAGTCATCATCATCATCAGCCTGTTATGGTTCCCACTGCTGGAGCATAGACCTTCTGTTAAGAATCAGATTAACATTTGGTATGCTAGATGGCAGAAAAAGTCTGTCTATTGAATCGCGCTATCGTTTTGTTTTCTTGTAAAGATAAGTATTCTACGTAGAAGCAATAAATGCTCAACGGCCCCCCACGACAACGTCTAACTGGAGCCGAGGTCCGAGTCTCAGAGACGCCCTCTAGTTGAGCCGACCCCCTCAGGTTCGAGTGGTCTGGAGGCTCCAGACGGAGTGGAGACTCCCCCCGGGGAGACGCCATCCGACTGGAATACCTCCAGAGGCACTCGCCAATTCTCGGCTTGAGGTCCCCTTAGGATCTCGCCGTCCCCAAACCCGGTGACGCTGTAAAGGTCATCTGCGACCAACAGCATACACACTCAAAAAAAATGGATGCGTGTAACTTATGTACGCGCGTGAGAAGTTATACTTCTTTAGCATCATTAAAAATATTTTTAATTGCATGCAAATAATTAATAATTACAATAAAATAATAAAAGGACTGGAAAAGGATAGTTAACACAGTCAATTAAGTTCAGTTTTAATTTGAAAAATTAAATAAATATTCAAAATATTCAATTAAAATCACTACTGAATTTAAGTTATTAGTCCATATGTAATTAGCACTTGTAAGTAACTAAAACACGTTGTGTCTATAAACTAGAAGCATGTGGATAAATATTATAAATATGAAAACAGTGATCGGAGGCGACGAGCGTGCCAACATTGTTTTTGACAACGCGATCATCTTATGGAGCTCCGTGGATCGTTCAAAGTACCTTTCGAACAGATTTCTCTCGAAGACTAGACTCGAAATTTCACTCACATGATTTTTTCATAACGCGGCTAAAGAAGTATAACTTCAAAAAAAATGCTCTCTCTCTCTCTATTCAAAATTGGAAAAAGGTGTTTAATGCATTGAGTTAGTTCCATCTCCTTTTTGGAACACTAAACACCTTCCCTATGGATGGAATAGGAAGATTGGGCCGTGACTAACGACTGCAGATTCAGCCGGGACCAACGGAACGTGCCTTCCGAAGCACGAAGGAGCTGGAGACAGAAAATTTTTTGGTCACCCATCCAATGACCGACCACTGCGAAATATGCTTAACTTCAACGATCGCAGCCGAACGCGCTAACCACCTGCGCCATCGAGCTCCTCTAGTAATATAACGAATAAGTAATAATATGGAATACGAATTGCGTTAGAAAAGGGTTCCACGCCAACTGTGATTAAATGGGCGGAGCGGAAAACTACGATCAGCACACGGATCATGGGATTGCCGTTTGACATTATAATTAATACCATTCATGTATTATATCATTCATATCGTAATCATTATTACAATTATTTAATACTGTTTCTTAAATTCATGTTTTTTTAATTTAATTTTTTAATTTATGTAATTTTCTCTTTCTAATTTGATTATTAATAATTTGTGTAAGTGTTAATCTCATTCAAATTGTTGTTAATAAATTTTATGTTAATGTAATTATTAAAAATTTTGAATTCTTAATGTGGTTACTGTGTTGTATACTTGTATAAAAGCATGCTATTTGCACACGCTAGTGGAGTTCAGTATTTCTTCATCAATTGTTTTTCTTAATGTCTTTTACCATTTTGCTTGCTGTAACTCTCGTTTTGTGCAATAAATAAATAAAATGAAAGAAAAATATCTTACGCAATTAATGAATAGCCGAAATCATTTGCTGATATTTGATTTGTCAAATATTTTGTTTTGGCTGTGTACTTATCGCATGAGTATTGAAGTTTAGTAGTATGAGTTTGGAAGCATGTTTTAGCGGCCTTTGTTAGAGTGTTTTGCCTCCATATCATGCCTAATTCGTTGATTTTGAGATTTTAGGATTACCGTGATATCTGTTAAATCTATAAAATAAGGAACAGAAAGTTTTCTTTAAATACTTAGCTCAGCTAATAAACTGCACCAATCTGAAAGATTTTATTTGTAAGATTGTAAACAGACGGAACAAATATCATATCGATAAAAAAAATGGTTGAAACGCAATATGGTCATTTATTTACAATACTTTTTTGTCATGTGGTTAATCTATGGTAAAGATATATCTGAAAGGAGTTGCCTAATCTGTGGACTCTCTCTCTCTGGCAATATATTGATTTGGTCTCTTGTATCTTGTGTTCAATGAATAATTAAATAAAGCGAGTTTCCAATTAGAATACTTTTATTTACATACTTTACAATTTTCAAAGAAAAATGTATATAAAACCAAGAGAAAACGAGTCATATGATAAGAAGTCCTAAACCATGGAATCCATGCGACGAAAAATAAAGATTTTTTGTATTTTTTTTATTAAATATTAGTTTTGAGAGCAGTCCATTTAACACCGTCTTTGACATTAAAAATATGTAAATGACATCACTTGAGTTTTTACCCATGTCGTGTCGAAGGCAAGACGAACATAATCACGATTATGTAAATATATGAGGAGCTGGCAAACAAAACGGCCTCATCATCATCATCAACAACCTAACATAGTCCACTGCTGGACATAGGACTCTCCAAATGCACGCCACTCAGATCGATCTTGGGCATGGCAAAACGGTATAATTACGTAAAATTAAAATTTACAGGAACAGTAAAAAAGTGAATGACACACCTCCAGATAGCTTTTGGCATGTGTTTTTTAACTTATTGATTTAGTAATTTTAACACAGTTTTAGATGGTTATGATTGAAAATGAGTTGAGATTCAAATTCCGCAGCCCCAAAACATCCGGACTGTAAAAAAAAATGATTTTGAGCAGATGCAATTATACCGTGTTGTTCACCAGCTCCTCTATGTACTTGGAAAGCTACAGCAGTAAGGGGGCGTCCATAAATTACGTGAGATGTTTAAGGGGAGGAGGGGGTCGAGTCAAATCTCATCTAATCTTACGTTGGAGAGAGGGGGGGGGGGGGTATCGGCAAATATCACGCAATTTTTTTCACAGTAGTATTTATTAGTATTCTATTGTTAAATTTTTATTACACTTATAACTCTCAGCAATATTGATTACTAGTCTTAACTAGTCGTAAATAAAAGCACGAAGCACTTTTTTTCTTTTTACAATAACAATCCAACGCGTTTACGAAAGAAACCCACTTTTGAAAAATCTCACGTGAGATTGGGGGAGGGGGTTGAATAAAATCTCACGACATCTCACCAGGGGGGGAGGGAGGGACAGAAAATCCAAAAAAACACCTCACTTAATTTATGGACGCCCCCTAAGTAAGTAGAACCTGTCTTCTCCAATCACTTCTACGTTATAAATTACGATGTCATGTCATACCATGTCCTTACTTACCTGAAATTTGTAATATCAATGTTGTTGTATCCATGAGTCTTTTGTTGGCACCACTTGAGTAGCGCGTTTCTCTTCGACCCGCCATTTTTCACTTGCAACGCGTTCAATGGATCCTTTCTTTCACCTGATTAAAACAAAAACTTTGTCTCACATTATTTGATAATAATTATGCAATAGTTAAAAAAACACATAATGAGTAGGTAAGTAAATTAATTAATTGGTGTAAAATGTAGCACAACGACCATGTAAATGATAAACTAAGCAACTGTTATTATTAAAAAATAAAAAAGTGTATTGAATAAGGGCTCTTTCAATTTATGCGTTTCTTGACGGCCTGCTGCGGTGCCGAAGCGGTGCGTTTGTCGTACAGCGTACGGACGATGCTTTTATTTCACACAAAACACGCGGTGCGGCAACAGTGCGGCGCCGGTGCCGCGAACGCTCGACAACAGGACTGCAGGCTAATTATGCTCGCTAATTGTGATATTGTTTTGATGTCTATTTCACATTACGTATTATGCTCTCCGAAAAATGCGACATCAAAATGACATCAACTTATGATATGATGATGATCAACTCTATAAAATGATATCAACTTAAATGCGTATTACGTTCAACTTTTTGACTTAAAATAGTATCGCATAAACGTCAAAAATGTGATACAGGATATGATATTGTATGATCTTGATGTGACATAGGAATGTTTCATAATACCATATAAAAACAATGTCAACTTGGCATCAACATCATATTGACATCACATTAGAATTTTATTACTGAAGCATAATTGACCCACTGTTGCCGCACCGCGCGTTTTGTATGAAATAAAAGGATCGTCCGTACGCTGTACGACAAACGCACCGCTTCGGCACCGCAGCAGGCCGTCAAGAAACGCATAAATTGAAAGAGCCCTTACTTGTTTTTAATAATATTGGTGATTGAAATAGGTGCGGTCAATGCAGCGGTACATGATATTGTTATTGGGAGCCTATTATATTGCTGTTTTTAGCATTGCACTGCTAGATTCAACAATTCAAAATTCTACAGAAAATCTTACTAGCGAAACATAGGATTCGATTCTGTTTTATACCTAAGCTGAGTGGAATTTTTTCTTGTAAAATTTTCTCTAGGAGTTTGTATTTAAAATCGAAATGTTGGTTTAAAACGTATTGGAAACAACGTGATGTATGTGTACCTATAGATTGATTTAAATACGTGGTTTGGGGCTAGGCTAATTAATGTGAGTTAGGAATATTTATTTATGTTAATATTGTTATTTTAAGCTTTAAACTACTGGATTCATAAATCTAAAAATACTGTACTAGACAATATTCCTCTGGGTACAGTTATCAGACAGGATATTTTGTCTAGTAAAAATTTCTTTAGGTGTTTGGAGTTAAAAGCTTAGATGAGTGAAATGTTGATGAGACAACGTGTGGTGTATATGTTTAGCTCGTTTTCACAATAATCGGTGATTAAGACTGCGACTTATAATTTCATAGATTAAAACAAAAAGGTAAGATACGGCACTCGCGGCTTATAAGTGATCCGCTTAAACTGTGGTGCACGATCACAATTCGCTGTAGTCACAATTGGACATTCAAACACGCTGCATGTACACTCCATATAACAATATTGCGTATATTCTGTGACATAAAGATAAAACAATGCCTTACGATGCTTTTATAAATAACACAAATAGTTCAAAATCTAATAACAAATGCCTCGGCAACACTTCTCATTCGTAAAACTGTAAAATATTTTTTTCTCAAAAATCACAGTTTTTCGTGAATGTTATTTACGTAATCGCCATTTTGTTATCAAGAAAAGGACAACAATACAGCTGAGCCGTTCGCACTCGGAAGCTGATTCGCCGCTTCAATCGCTCTGCGTTGAAGCGTACAGTTCTGTCTCGCTCGCTCGATTGGATGTTATTTACAGACGTGTGCGTGTGTGAGAGTTGCTTATGTAGTTGAGTCGGATCATATTTTATTTGATGCTAGTATGAGCGTACCGTATCTTCCCTTTTTGTTTTAATCTAAGTATAGTTAAGGCTCGGATTGAGGAGCTCGATGGCGCAAGTGGTCACCGCGTTCGGCTGCGATCGTTAAACATAAGCAACTTTCGCGGTAGTCGGTCATGGGATGGGTGACCAAAAATTACTATCTCGAGCTCCTCCGTGCTTCGGAAGGCACGTTAAGCCGTTGGTCCCGGCTGCATCTGCAGTCGTTAGCACCCGCCAATCCGCACTGGGCCCGCGTGGTGGGTCACGGCCCAATCTCCCTATTCCATCTATAGGGGAGGCCTGTGCCCCAGCAGTGGGGACATTAATAATAATAATAAACATTTCCGACACTCACGCCAATTAGCCTAGCCCCAAAGTAAGCACTATAAGGCTTGTGTTATGGGATGCTAGGGTAACGGATAGAATACATAATATACTGCACATATATAAATATATTTATATAAATACATATTAAACATCCATGACTGGAGTACAAATGCTCGTATTCATCACACAAACATCTGCCCCCACCGGGATTCGAACCCGGGACCTCTCGAGTCGGCGACAGCCATGAAACCCGGCGTACAAATCACTCGGCCACGGAGGTCGTCTATTAATAGGCTGGTGATGATGATGATGATAGTTTAGGCTCACATATATCGCCGTAGCTGTTGCGGCGCACGAAGGATTCGTAAAAATACGTAAATGACATCACTTGAGTTTTTACTAATGTCGTGTCGAAGGCAAGTACTGATCACGATTATGTAAATATATGTACTTGGAAAGCTACAGCATCTCTTATCTATTAGACAAGTCCGTCCGTCTGTCTGTGGTGCTGTTTCAGCGGCCAAACCGTAAGAGATAGATAAAGAGAATGTTTAAGTTATAAGTTAAGAATAGTCTGATAAGACTACAAACCGGATTTGAGTAACGTAGCACTTCCGGTTTTCGAGAAATCACGAATTTCAAACGAAACCACACAAATTCTCCGAAGTTCTCAATTAATTAAATACATATATATTTTTTTTTTAAATCAGGTTTTGGTGAACATTTGGTTCACTGGTTTGCTAGTAGTAAGTAAGTAGAACCTGTTTTCTCCAATCACTCACATATATCGCCGTAGCTGTTGCGGCGCACGAAGGATTCGTAAAAATACGTAAATGACATCACTTGAGTTTTTACTAATGTCGTGTCGAAGGCAAGTAATGATCACGATTATGTAAATATATGTACTTGGAAAGCGGATCCAGCTTTGGCGCCAGGGGGGGGGGTCATATAGCCAGCTTTGGCGCCAGGGGGGGGTCATATAGTCGTGGTATATTAAATATTGTAAGTACTTAAATAAAATCCCTCTGTGTTTGGTCCATCTGTACCCAGCCCGGGGGGGGGGGGGGGGGGTCGATGACATGACCCCATGACCCCCCCCCCTGGATCCGCCCTTGATAGTAAGTAAGTTGAGGAGCTCGATGGCGCAAGTGGTTAGCGCGTTCGGCTGCGATCGTTGAAATTAAGCAACTTCCGCAGTGGTCGGTCAATGGATGGGTGACCAAAAATTTAATAACATGAGCTCCTCCGTGCTTCGGAAGGCACGTTAAGCCGTTGGTCCCGGCTGCATCTGCAGTCGTTAGCACCCACCAATCCGCACTGGGCCCGCGTGGTGGGTCATGGCCCAATCTCCCTATTCCATCCATAGGGAAGGCCTGTGCCCCAGCAGTGGGGACATTAATAGGCTGATGATGATGAGTAAGTAAGTAGAACCTGTTTTCTCCAATCACTCACATATATCGCCGTAGCTGTTGCGGCGCACGAAGGATTCGATCGCCTTCTGCTGCAGCGTTGCGAGCGCGCGCTGCTCGTCGGGGATGTTGGCGCCGCCCGCCGGCGCCGGCGCCGCGTCTGCTCCGCGCGCGCGACAGTTAGACACGTCAACGTAAGCGAAACGAGACCCACGCGCGCTAGTCTCAGGGTACAAGCTCGTATGCACCGTCACCACGCGGATTGGTAACTGAGCCCTCGTAACTTTTTACACATTAACCCCTGTACCCTTAGTGCGAGTTTTACAATAGGGTTGATGACGGGGTACAGTAAACGAAATTCCATTTAGTCCGTCAGTAAGATGATCAAAAAATAATGGACACGTATTTTTTCTTTGGGCAATCAACCAAAAAAATGACAAAGTTATAGCGCGTCAAAGTTTGGGAGTAGGAGCTCGTGACGTCACTTTTGAGTGAATTTTCACTTATAAGTGTACTCAAACGTGACGTCATGCGACTTTTCAAATCAATTTATCTCTGCAATGTTTATATTATGTGAAAAAAGAAAAAATACGTGTCCAATACTTTTTGATAATCTACCTGATAAACGAAGAAAAAAAAAATTAGTCATCATCCCTATTACGAAAACTATGATAGTTTTCGTGAGCTCGCACTCGTACTAAGGGTACTTACTGATTTTATTGTTTTCGTCTCAATACAAATAAATAGTGGTTAAATTCAATCGTTTAATCATTTGCGTCATCTTAAATTTTAAGTATATTTGGATACTTTTCACCAAAATGGACATAGAAACATAATTTACAATTACGAAAACTGATAGTTTTGGTGAATTCAAACTCGTACTAAGGGTACTGGTCTGTGTAAATGGCAGAATGTTGCGTTTTATCATATTTAGTAATTGGTTTTGAATTAACACATCTAATATATAGATATGTTTGTAGGGAAACTATTCAGGATTGACTTAAGATAATATAAATGAAGCCTGAATGTACACTATATACGAGTATATAACGTATATATAAATGGGATAATGGGGGAAAAATCAACCGGAAAATAAAAAGAAAATCCGCCATTGAAAAACTAGTGGAGGGCTAACACAGACAGGGTTTTAAGAGCCATTTTCATTACACAGTTGACGGGTTAATCAGCGTGTGATATCGAGACTTACAAAGAGCATTAGCCCCTTTGTACACAACATTACGCGATTCTCGGATAACCGAAGATTTTAGTCTATAAGCGACTACCGCAATACGAATTCATAGAGGTTCGTACATATGCACGCGTTGCCGCTGCTTTTTATATTGTGGTAAACGCTTAGACATCAAAGTCATCAGGTATTGAAGATAGCGTTGTGTACGAAGGGGCTAAGGCGTAAAACAGACGTTCATTACCCTTAGTTCCTAGCACGAACCATTATCGAATTCGAATAGTTTGCAAACCGGAATGTCAATGTCAAATTTTGTATGGAATCTTGAACAGCAGCGGCACAAAGTACGTAACGAGAACTAAAAATCAGTACACATTTGACAATGACATTTCGGACTCGCAAACGATACGACTTCGATATTGGTTCGTGCTTGGGGTACAGAGCTCTTTAAAAACTACACATTCCCTTACTAAACCACGTTTAGTCCGAATATCGCATTACTGTAATATGGCATTGCAAATCACAACGCACCTTGCGTTAAAATAAACTGTGAATAATCTACGATTAGAATTATGACGCTTTTTGCGTTGGCATATACAAAGTTTTCAGTTTTGTTTTTCCAAATATACTTGTTAGACTTGAAATCTTTTACGGTTGGTGATACGACTTGTACTCTGACACTAGACCGTCAGTCATTGGGACAGGTGGTAGAGGTAAATGTTAGTTAGACACATAGTAGATAAAATCATGCACCGATTGTAACCCATAACTTAGGAAACCCACAAAATAAGAAAAAGAAAATTGTTAGGCGACAGTTGCCTGAACTTCATTCTAACTTTAGAAATACTTTCATCAAACTTTCTACTTTTAATTTTCAAATATTTACGATTGATAAAATTGATAAACAATGACTGACTAAAGATGTATAATTTTAAACTAGATTTATAAATAATAAATAACATTTATAGTTACAGAGAATTATTACCAAATTTTAACTGAGTCTACAAACTAATGTCGAAATAAATTCTGTTTTGAGATCATAACATGCTCTAAAGAAAGAACTCGAGGTTTTAAACAATTGTTCTCTAGTGCTTTTTTAATTACGTGGATAATAAAGAGATCTCTTAAAAATCAATGGCGAAATAAGAAATAGAGATAATAAAATTAAAGCACCCACACTAATATAATAAAAACCTCCAGAAAAACACACCATCTTAGACCAATAAAACCAAAGAAGGATTCTAAGTAAACAAAATTGGCATGCAAATCTATGTAATCAATAAATTAGTTTCACACGACATAGAGTTAGAACAGTCAAGCAAAAGATTAGGCGCTTCTTTCATGCTGCCATGCTGTAAGAAAATAAAACAAGCGGCGATTTTTACATGCCGTGATCTGGTTATAGATAAAATAAATAGTTCCGACATAAAAATACAACATTAATAGAGTATTTACCCTGTATACTTCTTACAAAGCTATGATTATGTTATATCATTGCGTCGTTTAAAATACGCAATAAATTTCGTTAGAATCACATAAATACGGGGGTCTATGCTGGATAATGTTTGGGAATCAATGACTTAAAATGGTATTATGTACCAATCACCAATTAGAAGTGTTTCATAGAAACTAATATTAGTAATCTAACAATTTAATGTAACGGTCAAAATTTTGTGTGCATTTAAACTAAACTTACTAATTATACCAAAATTTTATTTATGTTAGTGGGAAAAACCTACAGATTTAAAAGGAAATTTATCGGGCATTCTTCCAAACTTTATATATCTTTTTAAATGGAGTTACATATAGACAGTGCCGTATTTGACCGATTGGAGGCCCTGGGCATATTAGGATAATGGGGCTCCTATGACCCCCGTTTGGTGATTTAACAGGAACTATAGTCTGTCCATTCTATTATTATCTTTTTGACAGATTGACGCCCATGAAATTTTGTATTGTTTACGTTAAAATGTCATACAAATAATATAGTACTTCATGGACGGGTACCGCCCACTTAGTGATGTGCCACACATAATGACTACTAAGATTGTCCCACAGATTACAAGTAATCGGTAGAAATAAATGAGTACAACCAAATTGTAAGATAGAGACCAAGTAATTAAAATATTAACATTATATGAAGTTCATTTTATAAATGTCTTCTTAGTATATTTTAAATTTATTCAGACGTATCAGATTCTTCATACAAACTAGGTAAAATAATAAATCTAATGAGATTTCGTAATAATTTAGTAAACACCAGTATTTTTGATAACTAAAATAATTTCGATACTTATAATCGATTAAACAATGTTCTAGCATAAAATCGATTATAGCTTTAAATCGAACGAGTTATGTGATAGGGTGTCACTATTTTTACTTCGATGGATCTGTCAAAAAAGATAATAATAGAATGGAGAGACTATAGGGACTTTGTATTCGATCTGAGGGGGACCCCTATCGATCGCGGGGCCCTGGGCACTAGCCCAATGTGCCCACTGGGAAAGGGGGGTCTGCATATAGATATATAACAAGTACATAGGAAATTAAGTCAAAGTGCTTACCGTTGTTGCTAGGCGAGGCTCTGGCGGATCTGGAGGCGGGTGGTTTGGCGGCATAGTTCCCGTTGTTTAGACCATTTGACGTCTGCTGGTTCTCCGATAGACCATTCTTCATATTGTTGGCGGTGGTGACAGCCACTGTTGTTTGCTAAAGAAATATCGGTAGAGATAATTAATACGTCAGCTATTAACTTTTCAGCTTGGGTTGTAATTGTTGTCTGTCAGTAAGCTTACACTTATTGTGGGTTACCTAAGATGGCGCTGCCTTGCAGCTTAAGGCTAGAAAAAAGTCAACACGGCCGTCAGGGCTGCGGTAGCATAATTGGTTAGTGCATTCGCACGGATAGCGAAGGGTGCGAGTTCGAGTCCCGTCTGCTGCCTGGTCCCCGTGGAATTTTTTCTATTACTATTTTCTTTACATTTGAAACCGAGCAGTTACGTGCTTAAAAAATAAAAATAATAAGCTTACACTTTATAAATAAATTACAGACAGAGAGGTTGACACTATTATTACAATCAGATTCTATTGTTTCTGAACTAAAGCTCGAAAGTGAATAGTAGAAGCGGGAGCGACATTATATACTGAAGAGTCTGTGAACACAACTGATTAAAATCCAATTTTCTAACTATATAGCCAATAGGGTTTAACAAGTTTTAGAAAACGATCTCACGTTATTGACTAATGTTTATGGAGTCCGTAAAAAGTGGATATTCATCATTCTGTTGTGCATTTCAGTAAAAATAAAAAACGTTTCTCTGGACAATATGGAGTCTTACTAGTGTGTGACGTCACACGACTGTTATTAAAGCGTTTTGCGTCACGTGACAATAGATAAGAAAATTATTATATTTTTCGTTAGTTATTAATAAAATTATGAATATTTTTTTTGTAAAATAGTAAAAACCCCTGCCAATAATTATTTTAAACAGATGCTAATAATTGGCGCTTTTTTTTAATACTGTCAAATACCCTATTAAGCATTATTCTGTGCGTTGCATTCTTGTAGCAAATAAAGTCACAACAACTCCGAGAAATAAGACAATAAGTAGCGCTAGCAAGTAAGTAAAACTATTAGTCTTTTAGCTAGGTACATAGGCCATATTTTTATCACCCTCGCCATAGAAAATTAATCGTAGGAAAGAAAGTACTTTACCTGTGGCCATTCTCCAACAGGAGTGGTGGCGGGCGACTGCTTAGCCGCCTTGGCAGCGTTCTCTATGCTTTCAATCAAGGACTTTACAGACAATCGGGAATCCTGGCGGCTCACACCTGTAAAATTACACGTTTTACATAAAACTCATGCTTTAATATACAAACTAATGTTGTCAATCTATACTTACTATCCATCTAGTACCCATGGTAGGTAGGTATTGGGCCATCACACTAATATTATAAAGGCGAAAGTTTGTGAGTATGTGAGTGTGTATGTTTGTTACATCTTCACGTCTAAACGGCTGGAGCGATTTTAATAAAATTTGGTATGGAGTTAGCTGACACCCTAGATTCACACATAGCCTACTTTTATCCCGAAAAAATGTTAGGTTCCAGAGGGATTTACAGGAAACTAAGTTAACGCAGACGAAGTCGCGGGCGACCTCTAGTTCAAAATAAATTTTAATACTAATAATAATAGTATTTTTTTACTTTATTCAAATTGACGGTTTTGACATTTTATTTCTTAGTAATATTACAAATGCGAAAGTGTGTCTGTCTGTTACCTTTGCACCCTTACAGCACTGAATTGTTACAGATGAAATTTGGTAAAATGGTTGTTAAAATCTCGTAAAAGTTCGTAGGATAGTTTTTTACCTGATATAATCCATTAAGGAGAGAAGGAGAGGGAAGTTTGAACTTACGGGCATATTCGTATCATACGAAATTGCGGGCACCCGCTAGTTATTACATAAAAGTGAAAATGAGTCTGTTACCTCTTCACACTCAAACCGCTGAACCGATAAAATTGGTTACATAAATAGTTTGAGTTCAGAGAATGGACATATGATAGTTTTTATCCCAGAAATCATCCTTAAAAGGGTGAAAATGGGGGTGCAAGATTTTACGGAAAATCAACGATACCACGAAGACGAAGTTGCAGGGACATTGCTACTAATATATACCTTTATATCTTTATATATATAATTCTTCTGTGAGTGTGTATGTCACTGAACTTCTCTTAAACGACTGGACCGATTTTGATGAAATTTTTTGTGTGTGTTCAAGGGGATCTGAGAATGGTTTAGATTCACAAAGACGTGTAGACAGGATAACGTCTGTCGGGTCCGCTAGTCTATATATAATCAACGATACTACGAAGACAAAGTTGCAGGGATATTGCTACTAATATATACCTTTGGTGCGCCGGTGTGATGCAGCCGATGCCATTATGTCCTGGAGTGAAGCGCTGGTGAGAAGTGGCGGGGGCGGCGGGGTCTCTTCGCTGCGAGGGGGCATTGCTGCAATACAGTTTGAGATTAGGTGGCCCCCTTAACTGATTGTTAATACTTAAAATTCGAATACAACTGCTATTGCTGTCTCATAATTTTATTAGACGTTGCTGTCTTAAAGCTCCCCTGATATCACAGTCTTAACTTAGGTGTATTTAAATTGAAATCAGATTCTTTGGAAGCTTAAGACGTATCTTTGTATAGATATATACCTATTTACTTAACTAGACTTATTATTTAACGCACCATACACCTCAGACAACACAAATCAATCAAAATAGAATACATACTCAAAAAATGTGCCGCTTAGCTCTAAAAGTGTGGAATAGAACGATATGACTACAATGTCAGCCCCGCCACCAGCACAAAAAAGCACAAATTAACAAAACTTTTTTACTCATTAGGAGATTATTTTATACGAAAATCTCCACGTAAATCGTACTATAGTGACTATAACATTACCATAAATTGTGCGAACAATATAAGGTTTTTTGTCCAAAATTGAACCCTCTCCCGAGAAAATCACCACCACCGCACTAATAGCCATTTTCAAAACATAACGGTAGGACGGTCCATACAGTTACAGTTATTTACATAAATCTCACACTAAGACGGTTTAGGTTTCGGGTCACAAGAAGCCTTCCAACTTACGTAGCGGTCTCGGAGGCAGTGGATCGTTTAGTGACCTGATCGGGTGCGACAGCCTTTTGTGCTCGAGCGTCTTCCAGTAAGGCTTTGGCCCCCGAGGCCAGGACCCGGTGTTTGTCTCAACACTTGGAGCTTTCTGGTTTTGCAATGAATACTTTCTGCTCGGAGTATCGGGATTGCTTCGCGGCTCGGGCTGAGGAGGTTTCTTTTCCAAGTTCTGAACGATTTCCCCTATAGATCCACTAGGTTTATTGTCGAACTGTTTCGCGCTAGGCGTTCGGGAGAGAGATATGACTGATTTAGTTATACTGGAGAGTTCTTTTGTAATTGGAACTGTATCATCTTTGCCTTGATCAAATAAGTTTTCAGACTGCAACGATTCCCTTTTCGGTCTTTTAGGACGTCTTGGTACTTTAAGTATTTCTTCCCGAGGCACAGACGCGAATTCTTCAGCAGTGCTTTTAAAAATCTTATCATCGTCAGCTATGTTTTTCTCTACTGGAGTCAAAGGTAAGATCGGTTGCCCTATCTCTTCGTAGTAGTGTTCTTGTTCAGAATCCCTTCTTCTTGTATTGATCAACGGTAGAAAAGGATTAGTGTTGATTTTGGGTGAATCTTTAACTCTGTGTTCGACTTCTACTTTAGGTTTTGGAAACTGCTGAGTTGTATTAATGAAAAATGGGACGTTATCCATTGGCTGATAGTATTGATTATCAATTAACCACTCCGGAGTTTTTGTTAGTTTGATAACACCTGGTTTCGGCGCTTCTGGTAAGTTTGGTCCCAATTTGACAGGAGAAGGTGATTTGGATTCTACTGTATTATAACCAGCACCAAATGTTTTCCATGACAAGAATGGTAGTTGTTTTGATCTAGTATTTTTCTGATATATACCTCTCTTTTCAAATGTTCCAGTTCTATCTTCATCTACTTTGTGTAAACCTAGTTGGTTTGGCGACTTAGCAGATTGTAATTTTTTATCTTCGACTACGACTTTGTCCATGTCATCATAATAAACTGTACTTTTTTTAGCTTCTTTTACTTCTTTTATTTCAAATGCTGGTTGTTGTTGTTGTGGTTTGAAAAAAATAGGTTGAATTAAAACTGGACTAATTATTATAGGCGAGGTGCGATCAATTGCTCCATTAACTATATTGATTGGTGTTACGAAAGTTTTTAACCGAGTTTTTAATCTGCTATTGCCGTGATTTGATACATTAAGTGGTAATGCTACTACTTGAGATACAGCTGGAGAAGGAATTTCATCCATAGAATTTATTTTTAAATGATAACTCACATCCTCATCAATAATTTCAGGGTCTTTCTCTTTTTGGCTTGAACTGTTCAAGAGTTCGGTATTGCTGATATTTTCTGAGTGCCCTGCACTATCAGAAACAAAATTTTCGCTTATTTCTATTTTTGGAATTACCGCTTTTATTTTTGGTTTATCTTGTACCGGATTATCAACTCTAGTTGCAGGTTCCAGATCAGAATCAACCTTTGTTATAACACTACTATCATCGGTTCTTTCTTTCATTGGTGTTTCCTTGTCTTCTGTACCTATTTTAATTGAAGAGAGCTGTGGATATGGAACATTTTTTTCTTCTATTTTATTAACATTATCATTTTCAGTCACTTTATTTATTTCATCCATAGAATTAGAGAGAGGTAATTTATGGTTACTGCTTGCAGATATCCTCTCTATAGCTGCTTTGAAACTTGACGTCAACTCTTCATTTACCTTTTTAATGTCATGTTCAATGTTTGATTCTAGTGGTATTACTGGAATGGCATTCGTTTTATCAGCTTTAGTTGAGTCTATTTCAAAAGAAGGATTTTTATCATTTGGATAAGGATATGGTAAAATAGACTCAGCCTTCACAACTGGTATAGGTTTGGTATTAGGTATCAAATCATTTACAGAAAAACATTTTGAACTTTTTTCTGCATTTGTTAATGGTACATTTTTGAAAGTTGATATTTTACTCTGTTTTGGAATGCTATTTGAAACGTTTTCGATGTTTGAAGAAAAATCACTATAATTACTATTAGGCCCCAAAAATTCTATACTAGTAGCCTCCTGCAAAGCATCCCGATACTCACTATTTGTATTTAAGTTTTCCATGCTAAATGATTTAGGTTTGCCATGCAATAAATTAGAAATATTTTTATCTTTTATTTCAATTATATCACTGGACGGATTTACTGGTTGTACGGATTCTGGTGTAAAATTATTACTGTTACTATTCAGATCTGATTGACAATTTTCTTGTTCTTCTAATGAAGAATGATCCATTTCTTCTAAGGCATCTTGCCTAACAACTTTATCTTTAATAAAGTCGAGAGCCTCTTGCCTCTTTATACCTTTGGCTTCAAAAGGAGGTAGAACAGCTTCGGCCAATATTTTACCGTTTAGTTCTTCTGTATTGTCAGGCGATATACTTTTGTGGGTATCGTCGTCGTTCGTTTCGTCTGTCGTTACATTGTCGATTTCCAACTTGAAAGGTTGCGGCAGGATATCGTTTAGATCGCTTTTTATTTCCGGTAAGCTGAGTCTGTAAAATGCTTGGTCAATAATACTCGTATCTTTTCTAGGAGATTCAGACACGCTGTGAACTCGAGACATGTACCTTGTTCTAATGTTTTTAAAAATGTCAATCGATGAACTGTCGCTCTGAGAGTCAGACTGGAGAGATTCCTTCGATAGCCTTTTGTCGTCATCAGAAAAGTTGGTTACGCTATCCACAGATTGAGACTTGTTAAGACCTGTTTTGGTACATCAAATTGTGATTAGACATTTAAAATTGACACTGACATTATTAAACACTGTTAGTTTCATGATACTAAAACTATATTAACGTAAGCTCATTACACATAATTAGTGCAGGACAGCCCGTCAATTCTGCGGACAAAATTATAATTGCCATCGTTAAAAAATACAATGGATCGGTTACATGATGGCAACATTAATACTTTACACAGAAGATCATATTTACAAAGCACCGCACTTGGGCGCTGAAGATCAAACTTTTATGCAGAACTCATGCTTAATAATGTAGTAAATAAAAAAACATTAAATACTGCCAAGAAAAAAAACACTATGTACACTTTCAAACACTACCAACTCTGTGGCTATACTACACATGCACTCTGTCTTCTCTAGAGCCCATAGTTTTGATGCTGGCATGCACTTACCTTTCATTGAATGGATTTGGTCTTCTAGCAGCCTGATGCGGTCCCTCGCGATCTTGTTCTCAGAAACGAGTCGTTCCAGTTCTCGTTGCGCCTCCGTCTTGAAATCGTTGGCGACGCGGACCGTCATCAGAAGATCGCTTTGGAACTGCTTCCATTCCGCTTCCTATATTTGGTATAGGTTAGGTTAGGTTATAGGGTACTTTACGTTTTACGGTTTTGTAACATGGTTGATTTTTAATCTAACTTATTGCAATTAACGAGTATTTTCAATAATTAATATTATAAAGAGGAAAGCTTCTATTACCGTATTTTGTTATGTTTGTAATGAACAAACTTAAAAACTACTGGACCGATTTAAAAAAATCTTTCATCTGAGATTGATACAAACTCCATTATCTCTGAGTTATTTATACTATATTTTATCATGTGAAAAATAAGTTCATCCATGCAAAGCCGGGGCGGCGTTAGTGATATGATAATAGATGTCTTTTTACATGTCCATTAGATATTTCAAAAGAACTGTGTTCTTTTTAAAACCTTATCTGTTCACACTAAGCAGCTTATGAAATATTATAATAATTCGAATGGCTCTCCAAGAAGTGAACCAAGTAATTTAAATCTTGAGTTATTTTTTAGTGTTAAGCATCACAGCTAGATGTTTAAATCTAAAGAAAAAAATACTAGACATTTCTCTCTTTAATTTTAATCTTATATTGGTAACAAGGGTCCATTGCTTTCTATAACTATACTTCAATCCCAGCTAAGTCTTTTCCGAAGTGTTTCTTACTATATTCACTAACACCCTCATGACAAAATACTCACATCTCTTTCCCTGTCGCGTGTTAATTGCGCGTTCCTCGTACGCGCATCTTGCAACTGTCTCTCGGCGTCGGCTGCACGCGCTAAAGCTTCACCCGCGCGCGTCATCAGTGTTAATTTCTCGTCTGATGTCACTTGTACCTGCGTTAGCATATCCGTGGGTAAAAAAATATAGACCCTTCTCAATTACGGTTTTCTGGAATGACGGGCGCCAGGTGGCAGCAAGGTCTATTCATCTGTCAAATCACTTATGACGTCAGAGTCAATTTAAACCCTAGTTCGATCAATTAGCGCCCAAAACTTCGTACAAAAGACCTTATAATAATAATAATTTATTCCATGAAAATATAGTATACAAGGTGTTCAATTATTATCATGTCTCACATATTTTACTGTTAGACAGCATGTAACGAAAAGTTTATAAATTAAATAAATATTAAAGTGTTATTTTAAAAATGTGAAATAATAAATGTCCAATATTTGTTTCCTTTCTGGATTATCCAATAACCAGTATATCATACAATGTCAAATAAATTAAATAAATCATCAAAATTAAGAATAATAAATGTCTAAAATCTAAATTTCATTTAATGAAGTCCAGTCCATCTTATGTCGCAGTGTCGCCAACTGGTGGCGTTTATTTATAGATTTATAAATTATTCTTTCCGCTTCGGTTCCTATTTCAGGTTCCGTGGTCAGAAGACCCGTGAGTAAGTTACGGACAAGTCATCTATCTATTTATATAAAACTCTAAGGTGACTGACTGACTGACATAGTGATCTATCAACGCACAGCCCAAACCACTGGACGGATCGGGCTGAAATTTCGCATGCAGCTAGATGTTATGAAGTAGGCATACGCTAAGAAAGGATTTTGATCAATTCTATCCCCAAGGGGATAAAATAGGGAATGAATGTTTGTATGAAACTTTGTCAATTTTTAACCGATCTGGCTGATACTTTGCATGCAGGTATAAGAAGAATCATAGATGAATGTCATTGTGTATAATACAAGCCTGAGAACAAAAACTGTAGTCTACACTTCAGCTCTACACTGAAGCGAAGCGAGGGCGGACCGCTTGTTTAATATAAAAGAAAAAGTTACTGACAGTAGACAAACAGACATTTAGTGGATTGTAAAATCGAAAGTCACTTTATAGTTGTAATTATTGCCGAACTAGCTGTTAAACTATTTATCGACATCGTCACATCGCATAATAATCTTATTGGTGTCATCTTAAACGAATGTGTTCAACAATAATTAAAATAGTATTTTAATGACAAGGTTTGTGACATAAAACGTGGACCCATACCCATAGTATCCTTGGGGCACCCCATAAATTATCTGTGATTTCTCAGATCTATTTGGATAATAGATCATTTCTTTTAGCACTAGGTACATTAAAGTAAGAAAACCTGATAACAATCCTGTAATATGAATAACACTCGTAGTAGAAAAATATGATGTTTGGTCATCAGAAGGCGTGTAAAGAATCAGATAAGTTATAGCCTAATATTACCTGTATCTGCATCTCGGAAACGTTGTCTTGTAGAGTTTTGATCTCGCCCTGCAACGCAGATTTCTCCTGCCGAAGTTGCTCTAGTTGAAATTCTAGCTCGGATATGGTCGATTTAGCGTTGTTGCGAGACACCTGTATTTAAAAAAGAGGTAATATTAGTCGTTTGATACTTTTATCAGAATTCTCTATAAATTTTAGCGCATTTTTTTATTCAGGAGTTCCATTTTCATCAAGCTGTAAATTTCGAGTCATATCAAAAGTCCTAAAATCCCTGAATAACTTGTCTTAGATAATTAAACTCGTGGGTGTAATACGAAAGCTACTAGCACCACATCTTTGACAGCAATATCATTTACATTTTCGGTGTAATTCTGTTTAATCCAAGATCTGAAAAGATACTGAGAAATGATACTGAAATAATAATTATACTAAAAAAATGAAATTAATACTGCGGTTATAAAGGTCCGGCGAACCTTAGAATGTGGCTGCCAGTATTTTTTTTTTTAATTTCAAATGGTTTACAAAATGCTCTACAATATACGTAAGAATCAGTCCTCAGACTACAGTAAAAAAGTAAGTAATATTTTTTATGTACCTGTGCCTCAAGTTAGCGAGTATGTATACGATCATTGCACATACTAATACTACACGGTTATACATTTTTTGTCCATCAGAAAAATGTAAAAGTATTTTTTTTTTTTATTTTTTTTTTTTTGGAAGACCAACAGCTATTAATAAAAATAATAAAAACTTAAATAACAACAGAAAGCCAATTACAGGTCTTCACCAATAAAGACACACTAAAACATAATTAGGCACACTTTTAACATAATAATAACAAAAAAATAAGCATTGTACAATTGCCTATTCGTCGAAAAATGCACTGCTCAATATCCGCCTCAGTGATGGAACGCTAGTATAAAACAAATCAATACCAGTTTTCTCAGATACAACATTAAAACTATTACCTGCACGCAGAAGATATGAATTCTGTCTAAAGTTTGAGGTTGCCTGTGGAACGCATATAACGGGATTAAATCTCAATGGTTTTTTTGTAGCCCTAAGGGAAATCGTAGACAGTAGTGCTGGGCAGTCGATAGCACCAGAAACTATTTTTAATAAAAATACTAAATCTGCAATTTGGCGGCGTTTTTGCAGTGGTAACAAGTGGTGTTTTTTACAAAAATATAAATATTGGTTTGAATCGTAGTGCTCTTTGGTGCGAAAACAGAGATATTTGATGAATTTTCTCTGGATGTTTTCAATTCGCGTTATATATGTAAGATACAGAGGGTTCCAGACCTGGGACGCATACTCCAGATGGCTTCGAACAAATGAACAATATAAAATCTTTAATGTTTTAGTATTTTTAAAGTCTCTGGAATTACGCATCACAAATCCAAGAGCCCTGGAAGCTTTACTAATGATATTATCTATATGAGCGTCAAATAAGAGCTTATTGTCATGAAGGACACCAAGGTCCTTTGCGACAGTATCACGTTGCAATGTTGAGCCTCTTAATTTATAATCAAAAAGTATCAAATTTTGTTTACGACTATAAGTGACAACAATACACTTTGACGGATTAAGATCTAAATGGTTCTCAACACAATAAATTTCAAGTCTGTTAAGGTCCTGCAACTAAATAGCGTCAGCGATAGAAGATATAGGTGCAATTATTTTCATATCATCTGCAAAGCATAAGAGTTGTGATGTGTTGAAGCACATCTCAATGTCATTCACAAAAACTGCGAATAATAGAGGTCCGAGCAGAGATCCTTGAGGAACTCCGCTGAGCACTGTGAGCCAGCTGGAGATGTAGTTTTTCACTACAACAGCCTGGGATCGATTGTTAATATATGAAGTTAACCACCTGAGCAAGTCACCACTGACGCCGATCTTCTCCAGTTTATGCACCAGTAGGTCTGGCCTAATCGTAGATGTACAAAGATTATAAGTCACGGCACGAACCTCAAGCGCTGACCGTTATTGCGCAGAAGTAAAAATGAAGATGTGTTGGGGGGAAACGAGGTGCGCGGGTGGTCGTGCGTTGCGCCGATTGGCTCTCCAGTCGTACCCATGCGCAGACAGATATCCCCCCAGCGTTTTGTTCAGCGCTAGAGCTACGTGCCGCGACCTGTACAGTGAACACTCACCAGCGCGTCGTCATGCAGCTTGCGCGCGTCGGAGTGCGCGCGGTCGAGTTGCCGCTGCGCGTGCGCGAGGCGGTCGGCGAGGGCGAGCGCTCGCGCCGAGGCGGCGTCGGCCTCGCGCCGGGCCAACGCGGCCGCCGCCTCTGCCTCGGCCGCGCCCTCAGCTACGCCCTGACGCTCTTATAGTAACACTCACCAGCGCGTCGTCGTGCAGCTTGCGCGCGTCGGAGTGCGCGCGGTCGAGTTGCCGCTGCGCGTGCGCGAGGCGGTCGGCGAGGGCGAGCGCTCGCGCCGAGGCGGCGTCGGCCTCGCGCCGGGCCAACGCGGCCGCCGCCTCTGCCTCGGCCGCGCCCTCAGCTACGCCCTGACGCTCTTATAGTAACACTCACCAGCGCGTCGTCGTGCAGCTTGCGCGCGTCGGAGTGCGCGCGGTCGAGTTGCCGCTGCGCGTGCGCGAGGCGGTCGGCGAGGGCGAGCGCTCGCGCCGAGGCGGCGTCGGCCTCGCGCCGGGCCAACGCGGCCGCCGCCTCTGCCTCGGCCGCGCCCTCAGCTACGCCCTGACGCTCTTATAGTAACACTCACCAGCGCGTCGTCGTGCAGCTTGCGCGCGTCGGAGTGCGCGCGGTCGAGTTGCCGCTGCGCGTGCGCGAGGCGGTCGGCGAGGGCGAGCGCTCGCGCCGAGGCGGCGTCGGCCTCGCGCCGGGCCAACGCGGCCGCCGCCTCTGCCTCGGCCGCGCCCTCAGCTACGCCCTGACGCTCTTATAGTAACACTCACCAGCGCGTCGTCGTGCAGCTTGCGCGCGTCGGAGTGCGCGCGGTCGAGTTGCCGCTGCGCGTGCGCGAGGCGGTCGGCGAGGGCGAGCGCTCGCGCCGAGGCGGCGTCGGCCTCGCGCCGGGCCAACGCGGCCGCCGCCTCTGCCTCGGCCGCGCCCTCAGCTACGCCCTGACGCTCTTCCAACTGCAATCATCATCATCAGCCTATTAATATCCCCACTGTTGAAGCACAGGCCTTCCCTATGGATGGAATAGGAAGATTGGGCCATGCCGCACCACGCGGGCCCAGTGCGCGTTGGCAGGTGCTAACGACTGCAGATGCAGCCGGAATCAAGGGCTTAACGTGCCTTCCGAAGCACGGAAGAACTCGAAAAAGAATGATAGGCCACTGCGAAAGTTGCTTAACTTCAACGATTGCAGCCGAACGCGCTAACCACCCTCGCCATCGGGCTAACCAACTGCAATACCAATGCTAAATCAGACTCTCTCTTAGTACCCGTAACGTTCGCTCGCGAACACAAACCCCCTTAATAATATACAAAGACTAAGCTTTGATTGCTTAGAGGAGCTCGATGGCGCTAGTGGTTAGCGCGTTCGGCTGCGATCGTTGAAGTTAAGCAACTTTCACAGTGGTCGGTCATTGGATGGGTGACCAAAAATTTACTATTAGAGCTCCTCCGTACTTAGGAAGGCACGTTAAGGCGTTGGCCCCGGCTGCATCTGCAGTCGTCAGCACCCACCAATCCACACTGGGCCCACAGAAGACCTGTTCCCCAGCAGTGGTGTCATTAATATGCTGTGTTGAAGCTTTGATTTGCTGCTCTATGTTTTGTCTCTGTTCGTTGAATGATAAATGGCATTTGATTAATATGAACAAAACAAAGTGTAACTAGCCAAAGCTTATTCCTCGTTTATTATTAATAAGGGGGTGAAAGTCTTTGTGACCTTTACTTATTAAGGATCAAGATAAAATTGGAGATTTTAGAAGTGAAACTTCTTTGTAAATGTATTATTGTATAGCAGCTGTCCACGCGGACCATTGCTCACTCAAGTAGGAAAGAGAGAGATGTCGAACGCTGGCGAACGCGGAGGCCGATTGTGCCTCTTTGTCACTCATTGCGCGCTCTCGCTTGCACTTCAAGTCTTAAATGGAACGCCTCAGAGCGAGGTAACGCCGCATGAGTCATGTTTTTTCGTGCGTGCTGCCGGCTCCATCGAATTATAAGACGTGACGTCAAAAAAGTAAAGAACCTGCATTTTCCTGACATAATATCAACCGACCTTTGCCTTAGCAGCGTCGAGCAGTCCGGAGAGTGTAGTGAGTTGATGCTGCCTCGCTGAAGACACTTCTCTTGCGTTCTCTGCTTCTTGTTGTAGCTGCGATCTCTCTGTCTCCAGCCTTTCCACGCTACTCTCTAGGGATCTGCAAGAAGGGAATCTTATGAAACGTACTAACATGTAACGTCTAGTTAAAACTTTTGTGGCGGCAACATCTACACGCCACACATATAACCAAAGGAAGGAGGAAATTATCACTCTCCTCCTCAAGAGATGGCGCTACAGATGCTGTGATCAATACGTATGGAAGCCTACCTCGCGCAAGTGAAATTCGGATGCTAACACTCCATATATACAATACCCGACCAACATCAGTCGGCCCGCGGCCTTCTTGGTGCTGTTAGCATCCGAATTGCACTTGCGCGATGTAGGCTTCCATACGTATTGTTCGCAGCGTTGGTAGCGCCATCTCTTGAGGAGGCGAGTGATTATTTCCTCCATATTTTGGTTATATGTGTAGCATGTAGATGTCGCCGCCTCATTATATTATGAGCATGGAATAGGGCTGAAACTTTCGAAAAGTGGATTAGTAAAATGGTTAATAAAAAATATGAATAGCGAACACTGAGCCTGCAAGGTCGTCAGCAAAAAATACATACAAATCGCACTTAAAACCCATACAAAAAGTGGTTTAACAAATTATTGGTCTAAGTGAAAAAAAATAGGTATTCTTTATTTTATTTTCATTGAAGTTGATGTTTAAAATTTATCAATTTACATTAGAAACAATTATTGAATTACCCACGGTCTAGCGAATTATGCTACTCATCAAACTCTACTACTCATCAAATGTTTTGTAGATACAAACAGACAAAATTTCATTCTGCTCGAAGGACCAAACCACTCACCTGATCCTCTCAGTCAGCGACTCGTTTTCTTTGGTTTTTTCGTCTAGCGTTGTCTTGGTTTCGTTCAGCTCTGCCTCCAGTTGCTCTAACTTCGTCAGTAAATGGCGCCTTTCCTCTTGTGACAGCTAGAATTAAATATTTAGTTTGTCCAAGACTATTATAGGTGTTATTTAAGGGTAGTTAATAAACTCATGGCTCGCCTGATAGATGGGAGCACTTATTCTATATACCAGATTATCATAAGCTTTGGAAACATTTTCTAACAAACTATAAAAACACAACTTCACCAAAAGATAGTGGGTGTATTTTAATGCTGTCTTCTGTTAGATAGACTAAGGTGGAAGTTTCTCCCCCAAGACGGGGTCCTCTCTTTTAAGTGATTCTACAATACATTAAATATTGACGTTCACCAAAGTAACCTTTTTTGTAAACAATCAACTTCAGGCATATTTGAAGAAGAATAAAAAAAGACGACAAGTAATATTTTTTTATTTTCCATGAATGCATACCTTGAGTACTGCGAGGAGTTGCTGGTCTATGTCCCCCGACACCAAGGTTTCGGGTTCAACGCCCTCTCGGAGTAGTAGCTCTTGTAACGTATCCACCTGTACAGAATAAACATGTTAAAGACTTTATGAACATAAAAATCTTATTTGTTTCTTAGGTTTTCACGCACATCACTCATTATATAAAACTAGTTTTTCACGGGTTAATGCACGAAACTTTATTTATTTATTGACGTTTCGCAGCCTTTAGAAGGTAGCTCGACAAAATTTAATAAAAAAATTGATTCCAACGAAGCAGCCTGTAAAGTTTTTTAGTTGTTTGTTTTTTTAAGTTGAGGTGTGTTTTGCACACTAAAACCTCCTTGGTAATGTTATCCGGTTTCCAAGGTATCACCTACTCTGAGGTCCTAGATAATTCTCCCTAAGTCACTAATAACAAAAGGCCTGTGCCCCAGCAGTGGAGACATTGATAGGCTGATGATGATGTTGACAGTAGTCAGTCCTGGTGTCTTCCAAGTTCTCAGTATGCAGCACGAGGAAGACCTGCTTCTCATCGATGATCAGTGAGGACATTAATAGACTGATAATGATGACAACAGTAGTTTCCTTGGTTCTCTGGTTTTAACAACCCTTATAAGACTTAAAAACCCTTATCTCTTTCCCAATTATGAAAAGCTTTTTTTCTTTATTTATTTAGAGGCTTTCATTCTACGAATATGCCAGCCTCATCGTACCAAAACATACACAACTAACTTAATTCAAAACATTGGAGAGGGCGAGCTATTCTTACTAGCGAAAACCATATCAAACATCAACTTTGCTGCATCTGAGTTTGGTAGTGCTAATATTTCCACAAACGAACCTATATTTTCAAAGTTAACTTGATATAGTTGTATGAATAGCTCTCTCTCTCTTCTGTTCTTCACACATCCCATCAAAATGTGTTGGACATCGTCCACTTTGTTAAATACTACACGATTAGACCGCAGATCGTGAATAAGGGATCTCCCATCTGGGGTTCCAATCTGTTTAGGTTTAGCGTTTGACATAATGTTAGTCTAGCACATTAGGATTTTATCATCTACGATAGTTACCTTGGTCCGACTGTCTTCCAACTTCTCAGTCTGTCGGCACAATGACTCTAGGAGCACCTGCTTCTCATCAGTGAGGCGCTCCATGTCAGCGTGAGCGTCTGCCAATTGCGATTGTAATTCTGCCAGCTCTGCCAGTGTGGCTTGCAGTTCTTCGCTCGTGCTGAAAAATTTAGCATGATTTTATTAACGAAAAGATCTTTTTAGGGTTCCGTACCTCAAAAGGAAAAAATGGAACTCTTATAGGATCAGTTTGTTGTCCGTCCGTCTGTCAAGAACGTTTTGCTCAGGAACGCGTGGAGGTATCAAATTGAAATTTATATCTAATACTCAGGTCTACTGTCCCTTGGAGCTGTGAAAAAATCAAACTCCTAAGCCAAAGCAATCAAAAGATACAGCCGTTTATGCCGCAAATTTTCGAAACGCACGGGAATGAAAACCTACAGGGTACTTCCCGTAAACTTAGAATCTTGAAATTTGGTACGAAGTATTGTTTTATAGTACAGATAAAGGAAAAATTGCGAAAACCGTAAATTTTTAGTTACATCATATACCAAATAAAAAATATTTATGAAAATTTTAAAGTTACTACCTCTTTTCTCATGAACGCTTAGAGGTATTTATTTGAAATTCATATCAAATACTCAGGTCTATGATACCTTTGAGCTGTAACAAAATCAAACTTTTATGTCAAACGGGTAAACTTTTACTTATATACCTACAGGTTTGTACGGAACCCTCGGTGCGCGAGTCCGACTCGCACTTGGCCGGTTTTTTACTAGAAATACAGCCATATTCACACAGTAATTAGTGCTATGAATATGTTTTAACGTGCATACTTGATATATGTGACATGAGTTGTTTTTCGATGATACTTTTTAACCATGATAGTTCAAAAATAAACTAAATAGTCGCATGCTCGTGTGACTACAAACTCATTTTCCTGCCAGTTACACGATTTGGCATGCTAAATATTGTCGAGTTTTAAGACGAAGCAGGAATGAAAGGAGCTACTGCCATTGTATGGGTATCCAAAGGCAGGCACGTTACGCTGTTGGTCCCGGCAGCATTTGCAGTCGTTAGCACCAACGAATCCACACTGGGCCTGCGTGGTCAATCCAAGGCCTAATTTCCCTATATCATCTATAGGGAAGGCCTTTGCCCCAGCAGTGGGGATAGTAATATGACAATGATGATACATTAATATACTTTATTACCCTACCGGCGGTGATGAGACTTCCTATACTGAATATAACAAGGCAAGGCACGAGTCTCATAAAAAGTAAAGTCATTATTCATAAAGTTTCTGCTAATCTAACCTGTGAGTTAGCACACTGAAGTGGCAATGGGCAGGCCACATCGCTCGACCCTCTCGCTGCGGAGCATGGTGGAGGCCATGCTCCGCAGCGACAGGGCATGGAAGGCGGCCGCCTCCTTCTGCGAGAACGTTATCTCGCAGAAGGAGGCGGCCGAGAGGGAGCGGGAGGATGATCCTCTGGCTGCTCCCTGCCGCCAAAGGAGGACGGGTAGGAGAGGACGGCGGCGGGCCCTGGCTGCGCCCGTCCCATGACCCTACCCGGTGGGTCCCTCGCTGAACGGCATGGCGTTGGCTGTGCCGGCCACCGACGGACCTCCTGACGGCAGCCCCCCCTTGTAGTTCTGTCCTGCAAAGAGGGGGGCGGCGGACGGAGCTACACGGGCACGCCCAAGTAGCCCTCCGCAGCGGACGGGGGGCGGTACGGTGGGCACTAGGCCGCGTACTCAGCCCCCACGCGCCCCCCATCCTGCGCACGTCTGCAGGGTCCCCGCGATACCCCGGGAGACCCCTGCCTTGGAGCCCCGACTAGGCCGGGAGGCTGCTAAGTGCGGAGCCGCGGAAGAATCCCTAAACGGGGATCCCGCGGCTTCGCGCTAAGCAGCTTCAGGGTATATTGTTTTAAACTTTCATGGTCACTAGCGCCATGATCACGGAGTAACTGCGTGATCATGGCGCTTGCAACAGTGCCGAAATATCATCGGAGACTCATAAAAAACAAGGTACATGGTAACAATCCCGTTAATAGCTATAAAGCTTAGAGGGTATTCGCAGGACTTTTTTAGCGGATATTATGCCGTAAAGCGCCCGTAAGAGTTGCAGGAGCCAGGTGTGAGGTCCGTTCGGCGCTGTGCCTCTTAAAGGCGCCGTCGTCTGTAAATAGCATTTTTTACCAGCGTTATAAAAAAAAAGGCCACATCGCTCGAGGATCTGACAACCGTTGGGTAAGAAAGGTCCTCGAGTGGCGACCACGTACCGGACGACGCAGCGTGGGGCGGCTCACAACAAGGTGGACTGACGACATCTTCAAATGTGCTGGGAGCCGCTGGATGCGGATAGCGCAGGAACGCGCATTGTGGCATTCTATGGGGGAGGCCTATGTCCAGCAGTGGACGGAGAAAGGCTGATGGATGGATGGATGGATGAATCAAACCTGTAATGGTGCTCCTCCATCTGCAGGATGCGGTCCTGCAGGCACGCCACCGACACCTCGCTCAGCGACGACGAGTGCTTGTCCCATTCCGGGGTACCGGCTTCACAGCTCTCACCCTCGCCCTGACAACGAAATACATGATTAGCTCGTTATATTTATATTTAAACATGTTTACTGCTGGGTGTTTAAATCTAAAGAAAATTTTACTAGTACAAAAATCCACGCTGTCCAGGCAGCAGACGGGACTCGAACCCGCACCCTCCTCTATCCGGGCGGATGCACTGACCGATTATAGGGATAGCTTGCAAACCCTAACCCGCCATTGAAAGCTGTAGCTAAATGTGGCCAGCTGTGCGGCATCATATTTCGTAACTATTACGAAAACATACATTTCTTCCACCATCGTAAGCTCTCCACAATAAAAAATCTATAGGGAGGGCCTGTGCCCTACCAGTGGTGAGATTACTTTGTCAGATGGTGAGGGCAGGTTGTTCCATTTCAGGAGCGAGCAGCAGCTGCCGCTTCTCGCTGTCGGAGAGCGGCGAGTGATAGTCGCTCGCTAGACAGTACGTACGTTGTGCGCGAGCGCGATGGAGGCGGGCGCGGAGGAGTGCATGCGGCGCGGCGCGGGCGCGAGCAGCAGCTGCCGCTTCTCGCTGTCGGAGAGCGGCGAGTGATAGTCGCTCGCTAGACAGTACGTACGTTGTGCGCGAGCGCGATGGAGGCGGGCGCGGAGGAGTGCATGCGGCGCGGCGCGGGCGCGCAGCAGCAGCTGCCGCTTCTCGCTGTCGGAGAGCGGCGAGTGATAGTCGCTCGCTAGACAGTACGTACGTTGTGCGCGAGCGCGATGGAGGCGGGCGCGGAGGAGTGCATGCGGCGCGGCGCGGGCGCGAGCAGCAGCTGCCGCTTCTCGCTGTCGGAGAGCGGCGAGTGATAGTCGCTCGCTAGACAGTACGTACGTTGTGCGCGAGCGCGATGGAGGCGGGCGCGGAGGAGTGCATGCGGCGCGGCGCGGGCGCGAGCAGCAGCTGCCGCTTCTCGCTGTCGGAGAGCGGCGAGTGATAGTCGCTCGCTAGACAGTACGTACGTTGTGCGCGAGCGCGATGGAGGCGGGCGCGGAGGAGTGCATGCGGCGCGGCGCGGGCGCGAGCAGCAGCTGCCGCTTCTCGCTGTCGGAGAGCGGCGAGTGCGCGACGCCTCGAAGCCGCGCGCGCAACGCGCCGTTCTCGTCCGCCAAACGTTCCAGCGCAGCCACCCGCTCTGCCTCCAATGTCTAAACCAATATAAAGATATCCAATAGGGTATTTGACAGTATTAAAAATAAAATGCCAATTGTTAGCATCTGTGTTTAGAATGAATATTGGCAGGGGATTTTACTATGTTTACAAAAAAAATATTTGTAATTTTACTAAAAACCCACGAAAAAAGTAATAGTTTTCTTATCTATTGTCACGTGACCCAAAACGCTTGGGATTGGTGGAGCCTAAAATGACGTCACACGCAAGTAAACTTCCGGTTAAAGTGACATTACATTGTATCGTTTGACGTTTTAATAACAGTCGTGTGACGTCACACACTAGTAAGACGCCATATTGTCCAGAAAAACGTTTCCGCGGCAACTTGAAAAGGAGATGATAAATATCCACTTTTTACGGACTCCATAAACATCTCTTATCTATTAGACAAGTCCGTCCGTCTGTCTGTATGTGGTGCTGTTTCAGCGGCCAAACCGTAAGAGATAGATAAAGAGAATATTTAAGTTATAAATTAAGAATAGTCTGATAAGACTACAAACCGGATTTGAGTAACGTAGCACTTCCGGTTTTCGAGAAATCACGAATTTCAAACGAAACCACACAAAATCTCCGAAGTTCTCAATTAATTAAAAAATTTTTTTTTCTTTTTTTTTTTAAATCAGGTTTTGGTGAACATTTGGTTCACTGGTTTGCTAGTTAGTAACGTGAGATCGTTTTCTAAAACTTGTTAAAGACCCTATTGTACCACTAGTTGATGAAAACTGAATTATGATTAACAAAGCGAAAGCGGAAGTGATAAGCGATATTATCAGCAATCGCTTCTGTGCCATCAAAGGAGATTTTTTTCAGAAAGCGTTAAAGAATGGGCTAAGGCGAAAGAGCACCTCTGCTCTATCTGTGGGTTAGCAATACACATACACCAGCTTGCATTGATCTAAAACCCTCTCCTACAATGAAGATATAATAAATCTGATCTGAGTTGGAAATCTGGATCTGATCTAGATTCGTGTCTTATATGCGGGCAAACACTCCCACACGTTAATTCATATCATAAAATGGTCAACATGTAGATTAGACATCTTGAGGAATACTTCCCTTCCCCAAACCCTATCTCAAACTTAGATTAAAACAAAAAGGGTAGATACGGCACTAGCCTCACAAAAGTGATCCGCACAAATTGAGGTCCACGACCCTAATCGCTTTAGTCACAACTTGACATGCAAACGACGTACATGTGAACGCCAAAAAGAAATATTGATAATATTTTGTGTTTATATGATAAAACAATGCCTAAGTATGTTTTTAAAAAGTGCTCAAATTGCTCAAGAACTAAAAATAAAACCCACGGCATCACTTTTCATTCTTAAGTACTATAAAATATATTTTTTCATAAAAATTGCTGTTTGTTTTGAATCTTATTCGGTAGTGACGTCGAGTACTGGTCGCGTGATTGGTCGGTAGTGCAGTGACGCGGATCTCGCCGTCTCGTTCGCGCTGCCGTTGAAACTTAACGTGCTGTTTCGCTCGGGTCGGTAATGCAGTGACGCGGATCTCGCCGTCCCGTTCGCGCTGCCGAGGGATCAGTTTTTGTTTGATGCAAGTATGAGCGTACCGTATCTACCCTTTTTGTTTTAAACTAAGATCTCAAACTCGCCTTGATTCGTTCCAGCTCAGCCTGCAGCCTGTCAGCTTCTGCAGCTCGCTCCAGCAGCTCATCAACCCGGGATTGCAGCTGTGCCCTCTCCATTGTGCTGGCTTCAAGCTCTCTCCTCAGCGTTTCAATCTCCCGAACCCCCGATGACAATGACGCCTGCAACATATTTGATATTTTACAAAGCCATTGATCTAAAAATTACTGAAGTTAATGAGTTTTTTGTGCGTTCGTCAGAATAAATTAGCTATTGAGTAAATATTTTTTGTCACACTTTTTTGTGTGGATATTTGTGTTGTGCAATGCATCAACAACTCAATCAAGCAATGGTAACAAAAAAATATTGTTGTCGAATAAGGACAATTTGATTTAGAATTAAAATAGGTAGTTTTAAATAAGATGAAGATATCTAAATTAATTAGAGATGTGAAGCTGTGACTTATTTCGTTCTCCACAGAACGTCTGCAGCCGTTAGCACCTGCCAATCCGCACTGGGCCCGCGTGGTGGGTCATGGCCCATTCTCCCTATTCCTTCCATAGGGAAGGCCTGTGCCCCAGCAGTGGGGTCATTAATAGGCTGATGATGATGATGATGAAAGAGACACGATATATTCAGGTGAGGACGGTTTCTTAAATCTGACGAGTTTATTACAACAATTAGGTACGAAAAGTCTTGCCACTTACCGATTTATTTTAACGCTAAATACCTTTTCAATAAAAAATAACATGCTATCAATGGGTGTTGCTTAATTTTAACTTGACAGTCACCATATTTTTTATCGACTAATGATTAGTTTCGAATAATTGTAAAAGGTCATTCTTCCCAACCGCATCGGTGACTTGTACCACTTCTATTGTCCCACCATGACTAATTCTATGTTCGACAAGGGTAATTTGTTCCGGATGGGACGGGAAAGCGACAAACTGTGGACTGACTGAGAATAATCTTGGAAGTATCTAGTTGTTGACTGCATCATACGCCGTAGTATTGGAAAAAGCCGAAAGCAACTATTGAATTACTACCAAGAGGAACCTGTCCGCGCTTTCGTTCGAACTGCGATGAAGGAGGTTAAGCAACTTTTACAATGACCTATCATCGGTTGGGACGACCAAAAAATTATAATGTGGAGTTCTAACGCGTCTCGGAACATCGAAACGCACGTTAAGCGGTCGGTTGGTCCCGGCTGCATCTGCAGTCGCATCCACCAAGTCGCATGCTTGTTGCGGAGGCGTGATACAATAGCTGATGACGATGATATTGCCCTAAAACTGTCATCATATGCTATATTTACAAAAAAAACTAATTATTTATTTATTATTATTATTATTAATTAAAATGATTAATTCCAGCTGCTGCATTTCGCCATCGTACATCGCGACAAAAATTTCATCCCCATCATCTTGATGCGTGGCTATCCACAACCGTGCGTTTTTGTCGAAATTTTTTACCACGTACGACAAAACTGTGGAATATATTGTCGCCAGCAGTGTTTCCGGACCAATACGACCCAAAAACCTTCAAAAAAAGAGCGTACTCCTTCCTTAAAGGCCGGCATTGCATTTGTGATGCTCCTGGTGTTGCAAGTGTCCATGGGCGACGGTGATCACTTACCATCAGGTGAGCCGTCTGCTCGTACGCCGCCTATAACATAAAAAAAAAACAATTACAAAAGCCCCTTACCTCCGATGGTACCCGAGGCCTGAGCTCCACCTCCTGGAATTCGGGCATGTGTTCAGCATTAAGGATGACTGGCAAACTGATACACTCCTGGGAGCCCCTCTCACCTACCGAGAGCTCGTCGGCGCTGCCATAATCCCTCTGTCCATCCTCATACTCCAAGCCTTCCCTTAACTCCGGATCTTCCAACACCGCATTATTATTACCCAGGTCTTTCTTCTTATGGGCTTTGTGCAATTTCTCTTTAGATCCGAATATCTTAAGCGACTTATCTCTCGCCGGTGCAACTTTATGGTGTTTCGAATCGAGGCTGGAGACTGAGGGAGCACCCTTTAATGTGCCTTCCTGTTTCCCCTGACTACTCGGCCCTCTACGGAACAACGACTTGAATTTCATCATCTTTCTATCGCATCTTTTCTATAATTCACTGGCCGAATGAGTTCGTTCGCATTGTCGTTGGCACTGCGTTATTCCTCTTACCGAAAGAAGTGGTAGATCACATTTTACTAGTCCTCTGTTTCGGGAAGATATCGTTATTTAGATTGGTCAACAAAAGTGATTTGTGACGATTCAACAAGACATGTTAATGGTGAAAACATGGTTATAATGTATGTTTGTATATTGTCTGTTATTAGCAAATGCATGAGACAAATACGATAAGATATGCACCTACTAACGTACCCATTTCTTAGAAAATTATTATAAAGATTAGGCGCAATTTCCTGTTATATCTGTTTAAGACAGCAATAAGAAACAATTGCACCAGACAACGTAGAATGCGAAAACCACAAATATATTAAAATATATTACTTATATAGGTCATTGTTTATTATGGACTGCGCAGACTATGAACTTTTATCCGCTAACTTAGATCGCTTAGCACTGCATCGAGTGTTTAAAAGTTCCGCGTACAAAAAGTCCCCGGTCAACCAAAAACACCAAGACCGAACAAGACAAAAAGTACACGGGAGTCCCGAAAAAAATAGAACTCGTGTGTCTAGGCGCAGCAATGTTCACAGCGAACTTAAGTCCCCCCACGACAACGGCTAACCAGAGTCGAGGTCCGAGTCTCAGAGACGCCCTCTAGTTGAGCCGACCCCCTCAGGTTCGAGTGGTCTAGAGGCTCTAGATGGAGAGGCGACTCCCCCAGTGGGGAGATGCAATCCGCCTGGAATACCTCTAGAGACGCTCGGCTTGAGGTCCCCTTAGGATCTCGTCGTCCCCAAACCCGGTGACGCTATAAAGATCATCTGCGACTACTACACGCATACACACTCAAAAAAATCAACCAAACTTCAGACTGCGTTGCGCACTGGATCCGATTTATTACGGACTCATAACGCGCTCTTAAAACCATTTTTTTTCTTAAACCTCATGTTTAATAAAACCCAACTGTTTCTGAGATTATTAAATTTCATCTCGTGCGCGCTCTCTAGCTATATGTCTAGGCATCAAAATATGTCCGCACACCGTGTGCCGCTGAGTCCGTGACAATTGACAAATTCTTGGCGGACATTTTTTTCACGATTCAAGGACTTTGGTCCTCCACAGACAACACTTTTGTCGTCTGCGCAGGCCATTATGAAAACAAATAACCCGAACATTGACTATGTATCTTAAGTGGGCACTCAGAGACAGTGCCGTCTTTGACCTATTGGAGGCTCTGGGCATATTAGGATCATGGGGCCCCTATGACTTCCGTTTGGTGATTTAACAGGAACTAGGGACTTTGTATTTGATCTGAGGGGGGCCCCTATCGATCGCGGGGCCCTGGGCACTTGCCCAATGGGAAAGACGGGTCTGCTCAGGGACATCAACTAACTTTTAGATATCTCTCTTTGGTATAAAATAGAAATAGACGAAATTTTGATGCATTATATTTCTTTATATAATAAAAGCTTTTTACTGTATATAAGTAACTGAGCTTATAACTAAATAACTTAATAATCCCATAAAACTGTTACAAAGGACCTACTTATAAATTTTAATTATATCCAAGTTTACAACCATGCCATATTCGTATAGCAGCGAAGTATGTAAAAGGTATAGACTATCCGATTTGAATACCAAAAGACTACCTATCGAAAAGCTTAACAAAGGTAGTTTCAATCAAGTTCAAATTATATTGTGCCATTAAGTATAGCGAACTTCCTTACAGTAAATATTCCATTCAATTCTTCGTATCTCAATACGATGAGAAATATCAAAAATGAAAATAAAAGATATATTTTATTGACAAAACTCTTCAATTCGTCCGTATAAAACGATATCAAACAGAGCCTTAAGTAGCGAAGACAGAAGACAGAACCGAGGACCTCTATTTTTGTTTTTTGCTATCCAATCATTATCCAATCCAAGCATTGAAAAATCAGCCACAATTCGATGAGTGCGAAATCTTGTTCGTATACAAAATTTAACACACGGTGGTACGTACCCTCCGTCTGTGTTTGAGAGTGTGGCTCGCAAAAGGCCGGTTTTTTATCACGATCGCGAGCTGCACTTCAATTAAAAGTGCGCTGTCAACCAATTTAGATGTTAATCCTTAACAGCGAGGGGTAGGCACGCCTGTGAGCCTCTCCCTAACAGTATAGTGACCAAATTGGCTAACAGGAAGAATACAAATAAATTCTACCTTTATTTATGAACCCTTAAATAGTCTTCGTTTACCTGACATACTTTTCAGAAATAGAATTCGCAGATTATTAATGTAATAGAAATGTGCGTATAGCCATTTTTGTAAAGGACCTAGACAACAGTCTTTCCCTTACATTCCTTAAGGAGCATGATAAGTATAAAAAATATATAAAGCTAAAACTAGCAGACATTGTAGCAGACACATCCAGCAGTGGGGCCGTCACAAAACAGACAGTAAACGTTTTGGGAACTGTTTTGGTTTTTCTTATATATTTAAAAGTAAAGGAAGAAGTCATATTTTTTTTCACGAGGGTCAAATAGCGCGATATTTCAAGTTTTTCCGCAAATTTCGCCCTGGCTATACTTTAAAATATAGCGTTAAATATTCTCGTGAAAGCACAGCAGCGAACTTTTCTCCATTTTTCCTAGGGATATAGGCACCTGCCTACTACTGTCAAATTTACAAATAGCAAAACCAATGTGAACCTTTTCATTATCTCGAGAGAATTATGATTTTGATTTGATAAGAATATCCTGCGATCAATTTTACAAATATGATTAGCCATCATCTGAAGTGGAAGCATCAAACTTCACGCAAACGCACGTCAGCATGATTTCTTATATCAGTATACTTAGGATCTCCCATATACTGGACTGAGAGGGAAACATAAAATACACCTGCTGATAAGTTAAAATATCTTCCATACTAGACGGGGACAGAGATAAATGCAGTATAGGTACGCCTGCTTATAAGTTTAAGACAGGAATTCCTACAGAAGCCTTTGATCTATTTACATACGCCGACACACCTATAAACACGCACTTTATGAATATGCAAATGAATGAGATTCCATACTAACCATGGCTGGGAGGGGTATCCAAACGTCATTGAACGCGAAACGATATTAAACTGTAACTAATTATTTAAGTGAAAATAAGAAGAACTGACAAACCCAATAGCACTACCTAGGTACAGCGTTACAATATTCTGATCATAGGCGTCATTCTCAACTTGAATTAGCATTAGTCATTGGCAAGTGAATTACAATTTCCCCGACGGCATTTCATTTGACGTCTTCGCGTCGCCGTCTGTATGACAATCGACATCAGAAACAGAAGCCAACCTAATAGGCTCGCCAATGTCCGCTGTGCGACAACATCCACATACAAATGCCCACACATTTGCATACAACCTGACGGGATCGATCAACTCTTATTGCAGTAGCACTAGATTCCATATTTGCAACGCACCTCATATATCACTCGGGACATTGTGGTAAGATAGTCTTCACGAAATTGGCTCTTATTGACATCGGAGTAGGAGCATTTTTGATCAACATATTTAGAGAATGCAAAGCGAGCGTGCTTAAATTCAATAAAGCACCATAATTGATAAAGAACACGGGTGTGTTCGGTTGGGGAACTTTTTTGTTTTTTGTAGCTATTTTTGATCTATTCTACGAACTCATAAACGGTGAGCAGTTTATAGGGGATGCAAGGGGTTGGGGTAAAAACTTTCCAAAGTCATTTCCATAATAAAACAATTGTAATATTGAGGAAATTGTCGCAATAGATGATAAAATCTGATCTAATGAAAAAGAGTTTACAATTTATTAGAAATATTAATTACGTAAACATAAGGAAGAACCAGGACTTTATACATTAATACATTCAAAGCAGAATTCATATGATTAACAGGTTTAATTACTGATGTATTAAAACAAAATTACCACATAACAATTTACAATGATTCATAATTTCCCGTAACAAATTTTATAACCAATCTGATTCACATGTTGTAAGCCGCATGTATACTCCTTAACGAGCTGACTTCCAATTTGAGCAGGATCAAGGTTGGTTAAATTTAGCCCAGAGTCACTGGTCTTACTTCTATATCGGGATAAGTGAACACTCGAAGGAATGCACAATTGTAATGAAAACACGATAAAGATCCAAGATAAATGAAGTTTCAAAATGCACCGATGAAAATTAAACAAGCTCTCTAAAGCACATAGCTTTGCCCCAACCGGGTTCGTGTGAGGATATTTCAATGAATGCTTTGTAACACCTACATGAAAAGGCAATAATACTATTATTATTATTAAACAGTGTTTTATGGTTCGCTAGCGACTGCCCGCGACTTAGTCCGCGTTATCTTTACATTTTTGAGAATCTTCCTAAAATGTTTTCGAGATAAAAAGTGTCCTATGTCCTAATCCAGGTCGTAAGCTATATGCGTACCCCTTCCAAATCTGTCCAGTAGTTTTTGCGTGATTAAGTAACAAACATACAAAACTTTTACATTTATAATATCAGTGGGATGCTGTAAAATTACTACAACAACGTTGAAAAGCTAACTGTTCCTAACTTCATCAAATTCACCTGAATTTCGCCTGAACTGACTTTATTACTATAAAGAACCAAATTCATATCAAAAGTAAACATGGTCAAAACAAAAAAAAATAAGGGTAACGCTAATGTTCAAGATATTTTTTTATGTATGTTCAAAATCGAAAACATTAAGTCCTATTGGACATTCTACAGATGTATATAATAACGTATAAAGAACATGATAACAATATACGTGAGGGATCAAATTCTCATACTTGTACACCGCTTATATCTCTTGAGCTCGTAAAGCTGTCTGCGAGGTCCAAACTTTCACTCGAGTGCAGAAAAAGATTCATTAAAGAGTCATTGAATTTTTGATGCTCCCCCTAATCTGGGAGAAAGTTA